CAATCAAGGGCGTCGATCCGTGGTTGAAAGTGGGGTGGGGGGGGGGGGGAACGAGGGGGGGGGTGGGGGGGGGGGGGGGGGGGGGGGGGGGGGGCGAAGCCCCCGAGAAGCTCTGGCGCCTATTGCCTTTTAATTGATTTTAAGCAATGCAATTAACATTTGTTTCCATACGAAATTTTTTAAATATCCAGTAATTTGAAATAGAGCTGGGCCCAGAGAGGGACTTTTACAGGTGGAGAGTGTAGACCACCTCCGCCCCACCATGGTTGGGGCTGAGGTAAGAAAATTTATAATTATGGCACCTCTAGTTGGTCGGAAATGGCACTCTCAGTCTAAATTTGAATACAATTTTCATTTTTCTCCACTTTTTTAAATTTCGAAAAAAAATAATAAAATTAGAGATTCAGACCTTCGCATTGTCAGTGGCTTATCCAGGGGGCGCATCCAGGGGATGCGCGGAGGGCGTAAGTAGTAAAAATGAACTAAAATCACCTTATTTTGCGAATTAACGCCCCTCAACTGATCAACTGATCATCGAGTCCCCCATCCCCCTTTACCTTTGCGCCCCCGCCATCGGACCCCCATTTCAAGACTTCTAGATACGCCACTACGCACCTTTCGGCATGACGTGAGATAAAAATAAAAAATTGTAATTAATCGCAAGAAGCAACATACTGTACTAATTCCTCCATGGTATGAGCGACATGGTCTGACTAATAAGCCTATTGTAGGTTATAAATAGGTTATTTAAGAATTATTTTAGAAATAAATTAATAATACATCATCTTTTTCGGAATGTTTTCTTTTTTAGTTACGAATCCGGATATACCGGTGATATATTCAAGTCCCCCCCCCCCCCCCCCCCCCCACAGGAATACCGGCATTGATTGCCAGAATAAAATACTCCTGACCGGTTATAAAGTAGTCCTATATAAAATATAGTAACTCAGTTTTAGTTGTAGGTGCTAGATCAGAAAACAACTATAGCTCTATTTAAGTCAATGTAAACATTAAATTCAACAAAACATGACATGTTTTTTTTGTTTTTAATTATCTTTTAGAATCGATATTGAACAATAAATGTATTTATATGCTAATACTTAACAGAAAACATCCATTCAATCTGAATTTTTAAAATAATTATTATCTTTAAAAAGTATTGCTTCGCTTAGCCTATTTGGAATATGCGTGGGATTTTATTCTCTTACAAAAGTGAACCACATGGCCTTTTCATAGCATTTCTATGTTAACAGTCTCGAGTGAGATGACTTCGTTTGCTAAAAAAAATAATAGCGTATTTTGCCCTATTTTTCGAACAGATGCTGGATAGGCTTACATTTAAAAAAAATTAAATTTATGTATCCTCCAAAAACCATTTTTAATGTTAGTATTATTTCTGCCGAGCGTCCGTGGTTATTTTAGACATTGTAATATAGGGCATACTGTATATTATCTTTTAGTTAATGGCCGCGTTCTTGGAAGCCGAATTTTTCAGAGTCACTTTGATATTTTCCCTGTGATACCAACATTATGTGCCAGAATAAAAAGCTCCTGACCGGTTATAAAGTATAAACAAACGGCATCGTTAAATATTAAAACATCTTTAATATTCGTGGGTGATAAATCAGACAACATCTGTAGTATATATTTATTTATTTGTTATTTAGATCATATTGAATAATATATATTTATATTGATATGCTGGTACTGAACTAAAAATATACATATATATTCTATGCGAACGGATTGTAGACCTTAGGTAAAGGCTTTAACATTAATTCTTCTCACTGCATGGTATGTCATTCTTTGCATTTTACCCCACGAATTTTAGCAGATGTTTGAATGAACACAATTCGTTGATGAAATAGACATATTCTGTATTGTGTTTAGAATCGCCATTATTTTAACATCATCGCAAATTCCTAATAGTTTTAAATTAAACAATATTGCTTCGCTCAGTCTGTTTGGATTGTGCGTGGTATTTTAGTATCTTTGACTTGAAATTTTGAGTGCGATGATATTTGATTGCTCCTTTGCCCAATTTCAACCCAGGTTGGATATACTCATCCAACATTAGTTTCCATTGACAGAAGCAACCAATGTTACGCTCCTCCGGGAAAATGTTGATCCCTAGATGGCGGGAAATGAGCTTTCCCGACTTCTGAGAGTGTCTTTTAATGACTTTTAAGTTACTAAAAATTCGAGGTATCCCTCTCAAGATTCAAGATTCCATGAATCGGTGAACTCCAAAGAGTAAAGGAGGTCCGAGTTCTGTTCGGGACAATCTACATTTCTAGATGGCAAGAAATGAGTTTTCCTGACTTCTGAAATGTCTTTTAATGACTTTGAAGTTCTTAAATATTAAAGGTTTTCCCTTCTTGAAAACGGTTAGGTAAATTTTTCTCATTCTTAATACAGTAAGTAGGGCTATTATGTGTGTACCGGTATACATACTGAACAGTGGTGGATCTGTGGGAGTGGGGGAGTTCAGGGGATTCGGACGAACCCCCTCTGCGAAGAAACGTAACAAAATACTATGGGTCCTGGCTTACAAAATTCATGCTAACTAGACGCGGATCCAGACCTTCGCCTACTGCGCCCAGGCGAAGGTCAGGGTGTGAGAATTCAAAATAAAATGTTGACCATTTTTTCCAACAATCATACTTACTTTCCTTGACACTTATTTTGAACATTACCATTAGGAAAAATGTTTAAATCCACACTATCCTATACCTTACACTTTTAAACTGATTGTACTGTAGGCCCTACTAGAGAGAGAGAGAGAGAGAGCGGTATACATATTTCCAATACATTATGGTCTTCCACTTCTATAGCGCATGATACAGTGTATAGCAAACGTTATGTAACCACTAATAATACTTAGGTCCAGTGGCGTAGGTATGGACAGTGCAGTCAGTGCACAGCACTGGGGCCCGGGGCTATTGGGAGCTCGTTCAATAGGTCTAATGATCTAAAAATATAACTTTAAAAAAATCCTATTTAAACTTTAAAAGGACC